ATCTCCATATTAATTTCCACAGTAGTTGCACCAGCCTACACTCCTGCCAACAGTGGAGAAGGCTTTTCTCCCCCCAACCCCGCCAGCATTTGTTTTTGTTTTTGTTTTTTTTTTTTGGCACCGGGGATCAAACTTGGGTCCTTGCACTTATGAGGCAGGTAGCAGAACCACTGAGCTAAATCCCTGGCCCTGTTATTGATTTCTTGATAGCCATTCTTTCTGTGGTAAGATGGAGTCTCAGTGTTGTTTTCATTTGCATCTCTTGAATGACCAGTGATGCTGAACACTTTTTCTTATGCTTATTTGCTGTTTTTACTTTATGAGAAATATCTGTTCATTTAAGATGCCCAATTTTTGAAATGGATCTTTATATTTGAGGGGGTCTGATTTTTAAAGTTTTTTTTTCCTCATTGAGTTTATTGGTACATTTAGGTATACAGTAGTTACATTCATCATTGGGATCTTGTACCTTTACATGACAGGTCTTGATTCTCCTTTTACCCCTTGTCCCTGCCCTCCCTACACCCCTCCTTCCCTCCCCTTTACAAACACTTCATTTCCACTTTTAAATTTTCTCGTATTTTTTTCTTTTCCCTTATTAGCGTTGCCCTACCCTTCCCACTTTCCCTACACCTTTAGCCCCTTTCTTCCTATTTTACATTGTCTATTATATCATTAGGATCTTATGTACTATTATAGTTTTTTTTTTTTTTTTTTTTTTGAGACAGGGTCTCACTGTGTAGTTCAGACTGCTTTGGAACTCACTGTGTAGCCCAGGCTGGTCTTGAACTTGCAGTGATCCTCCTGTCTCAGCCTCCCAAGTGCTGGGATTACAGGCATGCACCACCACACCTGGCTTTAAATTCTTTATATATTCTACATAGTAGTCCTTTGCGGAACAGCTGGTAAAAGTTTTTTCCCATATTACAGGTTCTCTTAGCTCTATTGGTGATTTCTCTTGCACTGCAGAAGCTTTTTAATAATATGAGATCCCATTTGTTGATTCTCTGTGCTACTTCCTGTGCTACTGAGGTTTTGTTCATAAAGTCTTTTCCTATGCCAATGTCTTCAAGAATTCTACCTATCTTCCATCAAGTTTAGTGTTTCTGTTTTAATATTTAGATCTTTAATCCACTTTGATTTTAGTTTAGCGCATGGTGAAAGATAGGGGTATAGTTTTAATCTCTGGCAGGTTGAAATACAATTTTCCCAACACCAATTATTAAAGAGGCTATCTTTCCTTCAGTGAGGGTGGTTGGCTCTTTTGTCAAAGATGAGGTAGCTGAGTATGTCTTGAGTTGTTTCTGCATCTTCTAATCTATTCCACTGATCATCGGGTCTGTTTCTTTGCCAGTACCATGCTGTTTTTATCACAGTGGCTTTGTAGTATAGTTTCAAGTTAGGGATTGTGATACCCCCTGTCATGTCTTTGTTGCCTAGAATTGCTTTTGCTATTCTAGTTCTCTTCTGGTTTCAAATGAATTTTTTAGATTGTTTTTTCTAGTTCTGTTAAATATACAGTTGGGATTTAAGTCAGGACTGCACCAAATCTATATATTAGTTTTTGAAGTATGGCCATTTTCATTATATTGGTTTTTCCTATCCAGGGACAAGGGATGTCTTTGCATTTTCTGATATCCTCTTCCATCTCTTTTTTCATAGTGCTGTAGTTTTAATGTAGAGGTTTTTTGCTTCCTTCGTTAGATTGATTCCTAGATGTTTCATTTTTTGGGATGCTACTGTGAAAGGAATTGTTTCCTTAGTGAATGATTTTCTAATGTAAAATCCAACCTTAAATTCTTGGGATAAATCCTACTTCACCAGTGTCTTATGATTTTTTTATATATTATCAGATTCAATCTGCTATTTTTTTTTTTTTTTTTTTTTTGAGACAGGGCCTCACTGTATATTCCAGGCTGGTCTTGAACTCAGTATGTACTCCAAGCTGGCCTCAAACTCACAATCCTCCTTTCTCAGCCTCCCAGAGCGCTGGGATTACAGGTGTGTACTACCACATTAGGCAATTGTGACCGCCTGATTAAAGTGATGTCTGTCAACTTTCTCTACTCTATGAAAACCGTACTTTTTTCCTTTATGATTCATAAGTTTTTTTTGTTTTGATATTGGGGATTGAACTTGGGACCTTGTGCTTGCAAGACAGGTGGCAGTACTACTGAGTTAAATCCCTGGCCTGATAAGTATTTTGTTGAGAGATACTTTAAAACTATGTAAATATTCCATTTATCAACAAAGGTTCTCCTAGTAATTTAGAATCCATTGAGGTTTCTTGACTGTGGATATTTTAATTGTTTCCAACTTTAGGGTATTGTGAATAATGCTGCTATGGACATTGATATACATGTATTGTTTGAGTCTATGCTTTCAATTCTTTTGGGTATAATACCTAGCTTATTTTTTACTGAACTTTGGTGTTGGTATCTTTCAAGGAATTAGGCCAGTTCATCTATATTGTTGGATTTACTAGCACAAAGTTTTAAAAAATACTCTCTTAATAGGGCCAGGGATTTGGCTCAGTGGTTCTGCCTGCCTTGCAAGCCCAAGGGCCCGAGTTCAATTGCCAGTACCAAAAACAACAAAAACAAAAACAAAAACCCTCTTATTATTTTGTTCTTTGGAATCTGTAGTGATGTCCTCTTTCTCATTCTTGATGGTGATAATTTATATCTTTCATCTATTTTTTACTTATCAACCTAGAGATTTCAATTTTACTGGTCTTGATAAAGAACTAGCTTTATGTTTCATTGATTTTTCTCTACTGCTTTTCTATTTCATTGACTTTTACTCTAATCTTTAGTATTTCCTTTCTTCTGCTTGATTTTTTCATTTGTATATATTTTGCTGATTTTTTTTTGTCCTGTGGTTGTACCCAGATTCTTTGCATTGAGCTACATCCCCAGACCTTTTAAAAATTGTTTAAAAAAAATTTTTTTTTTTGGTGACAGGCTCTTGGCTAAGTTGCTAAGTTGCCCAAACTTGGCTCAAACTTGAGATCCTCGTGCTTCAGTCTCCCAGAGTGCTACAATTACAGATATGTGCCATCATACCCTTTATCTTCCTTTTTTCTTCTCCTTCCCTTCTTCCTTCTTTCTCGTCCTCCTCCTTTGTCACTTCCACTTCTACTTCTTGGGACTGAACCCAGGGAATGCTAGGCAAGCACCCTGCCACTGAGCTCCTAGTCATCTTTTTTTTTGGTATCAGGGATCGAACTCAGGTCCTTGCACTTGCAAGGCAGGCAGCAAAGCTGCTGAGCTAAATCTCTGGCTCTAGTCGTCTTCTTTATCCTGCTTAGAATCTGATACTCCATGCTACAATACCACTGCTCACTGTGTGCACACTATCAAATTTATTGATTTTCTAATAAGACTGTAAAAAATGTTGTCTCAGGGCAATTTAATTTCCATTTTCAAGTGACAACAGTTAATTTTTAAATGTTTTTGCTTTTTAAAAATTTTTTGGTACTAGGAATTGACCTCAGGACCTTGAGCTTGTGAGGCAGGTGCACTGCCAGCAAGCTAAATCCCTGGCCCTAATTTAAAAATTTTTACAGACATTTGTATCCCCCTTTCTGTGAAATGTTGAGTCATCCTTTATTCAATTTTATATTGGCTTGTTGATCATTTATATTTATTTGTCCTGATCTTTTACCTTTTTTGCAATGAGCATGCTTTTTTGGCAATAAGATACAAATTAAAGTTATTTTTAATTTTTAAAAAGCTTTTTTTTTATACTGGGGATCAAACTGAGGACCTTGTGCTTGTGAGGCAGGTTGCAGCACCACTGAGCCAGATCTCTAGCCCTTAAAAAATATAGGGCTGGGGAATTTAGATCCCCAGTATCCAAAAAACCCAAAAACAAAACAAAACAACAAAACAAAGAAAATAAACCCAAAAATAAAAAAAAATTTGGGGGGCTGGGATTTAGCTCAGTGGCACTGCTCCTGCCTCACAAGCTCAAGGTCCTCAGTTCTATGGGATGTGGAGTGAATGCCTTTAGTCCCAGCACTCCAGAGGCTAATGTAGGAAGATTACTTGAGTCCAAGAGTGCAGGACTAGCCTGGGCAACACAGCAAGAGACCCTATCTAAAACAAAATGAAACAGCTTAAAAAAATCCATGTAGTAATTGGGCATGGTAGCATATATCAATAATTCCAGCTACTTGGGTGGCTGAGGTAGGATGATTCCAAGTTTGAGACTAGCCTAGGCAATTTAGCAAGTCTCTGCCTCAAAAAATAAAAAGCTTAGCAGCAGAACACACTGGGTTCAATCCCCAGTACAAAGAGACAAAACAAACCAAATACCTATGTAGTTTCCTGGTATAAAACATTCAGAATCCATGGTATCTGATATTTTATTATAGTTTCTCATCCAGGTATTTATTTTTGCTTCTCTTTGTAATGAAGCCTGCATAGTTAACAGGAAATATGTGGTGGGATTAAAGGCTTAAGACTCACTCTGTACTTTCTCCCTTTCGCAAGGGGCACTAGAAAAATCACAAACACCAATATCTTTAGGAATTCTATAGCTCTCAGTCATCACTTCATTAGGTCTTCCAGTATCCAAGGGAAGCAGAGGTCACTGGTAATGATTGCACTTTACAGATTCTGAAATTGAGGCTTGAAAAAGTAAGTGATTTTATCATACAGAAGGCTATATTAAGGACCGGGGATTTAGCTCAGTGGTGCCGCTGCTTGATCCCCGGTACCAAAAAAAAAAAAAAAAAAGGCTATATAGAAGTTAGTTTAAAAATCATTTAATTATGTATCCTCAGGGTCCTACAATTAGTAACTAGGGCAAAGTTTCAGTTTGGACCCAGGTGTTCTTCCAAATTAAGCAATCAAAGTGAGGATCCTTATCACTCCAAAAGATAAACAAAGAGTAAATAGCTTCTCTTCTTCAAGAGACTGTGAGCCAAGCCTTTGACATGCCATGGCTGGTAGACACAGTGGGGATGCTGGAGTCCAAGGGTTATTTACATTTACCTTTGGCAGCCGTCAGCATGGTAGAGGCCAGTTCACACTGCTGTGATTCCAAGTGTCCAAGCGTGAACCAGCGAGGATAACGGCTGGGCACCACAGACACCATATGGTGAGGATGAGAAGTATCAGCTGTAGAAGTTGAGTTTTCTAAAACAGGTAACCTAGAAGACCCAGGAAGAGTCATCAGCTATCATCTAGACCCTGGCCATTTTAAACCACTTTAGAGAAGTTTGCTCTTTACTGGGGCAGGACTAGGGAAAGAAATATGGTACATAAGATCCTAATGATATAATTGACAATGTGAAATAGGAAGAAAAGGGCTAAAGGTGTAGGGGAAATGGGAAGGGTAGGGGAAAGGAATAAGAGAAAAGGAAAAAAACCATGAGAAAATGAAAAAATGTAAATAAAGTATTTGTAAATAGGAAAGGGAGGAGGGGGTGAAGGGAGGGCAGGGATAAGGGGAAAAAATGAGAACCAAGACCTGTCATGTAAAGGTACAAGATCCCAATGATGAATGTAACTGTACTGTATACCTAGACTGTACCAATAAACTCAATGAGAAAAAAAAGAAATATTAACTAAGAGCTTTGAAGGTTTTTAAACCTGCATACTATATTCAATGTGAGGTGAGTGCCCACATATTTATAGAACTCTAGCTGAATAGTCCTTTTTGCTTACGCCAAGGTCCTAATCTAGTTTGGAAATGAGATTTCTATAGCTCATTGCTTTCTTGTCATAGGGTATACATACTTATCTCTACTTCCGCCAGATTCTTCTGGAGACCTATTTTTGGGAACTAATTCAGTTGAGTTATAGAAAGGCTCAAACCCCTTTTCAGGCTGTTCAGTTGGCTCCAGAATAGGAGACTCAGGTCTTGAGTGCTCTGTAATTATTAGTATCTCAAGGGCTTCCTCAGATGATCCACCATGAGTCACCAATGAGGAATAGATACGAATCCTAGATCATATGAAAATATCTGAGCCATTTAATGGCAGGCTTGATGGTAGATCAACAGAACAAAGAGAGAAGGAGAAGAAAGTAGGATAAACAAAGAAAGAACACTGTTGAATTCTCCTTTGGTGGAAGCAACTGAGCTAGAATGGACTACCTACCTCATGGCACGCAAGGCCAATTTATAGGACAGATCTGGATCATGAGGCAACAGAGCTGAGAACAAATACTTGGCAAATGTATGCATGGGTACACTCTCTCGGTGGATGACTTCTCCAAGACCACTGAAAGGGCCTCCTGCAGGAAGAAGATAAGCCAGTAGTTATTTATCTCTATGCTTCCATTGGCCAGCCTAGAGAGTCCCAGGTTCTATGCATGTTTGCTAGCCATGGGAACCTTAATTACTCTTTAATGTCATAAATGTTCCTAAACCTAGTTTAGGAACTCCAGCTAGAGAGGAGAGCCTACAATCAGATGCAATGATACTGACAACAGCTCTTTCTATACTTACCTTCTAGCAATAAGATGCACTGTTTTCTCAGTGTTTGTACTAGTTCCTCATCCAGTTGCAGCTCCTGTAGATGGCTTAGGAGATGTTCCTCATTACGGCACACTTTGTCCTGTGCATACAGGCCTTCAGGCATTACCCTCTGTTGACCCATTCCCATCAGAGCAACTTCCAGGGCTAATGACAGGTAGGATTCACTGCTGCTTGTGCAGCCTGCAGCCACAGGTACATGCTGGTATACAGGGAGTCTGCTTTCATTCATATCTGAGGGCAACAGGGTATCAGGTTCTTTAGGACAGGCCTGGTAGTTTGTTCTGTCCTCTATCCCTCCCACTTTGGGACACTGCTTGCTCAACAGTTATCACAGAAGCTGAGTCAGAATCCCAGAGCAGTAAGAAAAATCTACCAAAGAAAGGTTACACAGAACCACAAAGATTCCTACTTCCTTCATAATATATGAACAGATTAGGGATAAAATCTTATCTTTGTTAACACATAATGTAATATTATAATTGTCTACTTTTGTGACTATTTCACTAGAGTTAAAGGGATGAGACTTATATTGTAGGAATCTCTAGAACCTGACATATGGAAGTAAGTATATTATCTATGATGACAAATAAACCAAGTATAACTTTAGGTTTTTAGACTGTAAATAAATGTCATTGTGCAGATCAAACAGACTAAAGATGATAATTTCTTGTACAGGGGATTTGCTTAGTTTAGGGCTAACCTCATTTCTACCCAGAGAAATCTAAATCTGTCCAGTTAAACTCATATTTTGTAACATCTGCAACTTCTATGTCATTATTATTTGTGTGTATGTATGTGTGTAGTGCTGACAATGGAACCCATGACCTCATGTATGGTAGACAAATGCAAGGCCATTGAACTAAATCTTTGGTCATTTTTTAATTTTTATTTTGAGACAGGGTCTCACTAAGTTGACTAGGCTGGCCTTGAACATGTGATCTTTCTGCCTCAGGCTTCCGAGTAGCTGAAATTAGAGCTATGCTTTACTACCAGGTTCACAAGCATAGGTTTAAAAGTCCTAGTTGGGAATTGTAGTACCTGTAGTTTCAGCTACTAGGAAGGCTGACATGAGTAAATCTCTGAAGTTTGAATCCAGCCTGGACAACATAGTGAAATCCCTTCTCAAAAAAAAAAAAAAGTCAAATTCTTTTTTTTCCTTTATCTGGTGTTTATGAAAGAGTATTACATGGTAGTTACAAAGAAAAGTAAGTTATAATTTCTGCTTTCAAGTAGCTAATAGTCTAGTAAAATATACTTGTAAACAAACTATAACACAATTAAAGTAGATGTAGATGAAAACAACACAAAGATGGCATAAAGGAAAGAAAAATAATTCTGTCTGTAGTTCTGGCTACTCTGAGATTCTGTTAGACTATTCTCTATTTCTCATTTGTAAATCAGTAGAAAATCATCATAAGGGAGAAGGTTAAAAGGAAATCAATGGATAAATTTATTATTTTTTGAGACAGGTTCTTGCTATGTTGCTTAAGCTGGTCATGAACTCAATCGATCCAGTAACTGGGATTATAAGTATGTGCCACCGTACCTGGCTTGATGCACATTCTGGTTTGATGGAAGTTATCTCCCCCTTTTAGACTGCTCTGAGGTTCTGGCCTCTGACTTCAAATTCTTCTGCCCTTTCTTATTTCCACTGGACTACATTTATGATTAGGGAAATGAAAGGAGGAAGGAAACTGGCAAAGTAAAATGGACAGGGCCAGACCACAGGGTGCAAAGGAAAGTGGGAAAGAGAGGAAACCTCTCAGGGACATCCAGTTTGGACAAAATGGGGGAAAAAGGCTGCAAGAAGGGTAGAACAGAGTTTGGCACAGATGAGAAGCCTGCCAAAGGCAGTCCTGGCTTGCCTCGGGCTGACCCTTGTACCTGACACTTCCATGTAACCATCATCACTGAGGCGGCAGGCTTCAGTCAAAGTGAGAAACAGGCAGCCAACAGGATCCAGAGGGTGGCCCACCCAGCCCTCCAAGTTTGTGATGGTTGTAGTTCCTCTCTGCAACAGTTCTGGAAATAAGTAGGTTCAAAGTTTTAGACAGTGATAGAAACATATCCCCCTCCCCCCTGGTTGAGTCTCCTTTTCATTGTCATTCAAGGCCTTGATCATGAGAGTCAAAGAAAAGCTTCCCTTTTTGTCTTGCCTTGGCTTGATAGGAATGGTTACAAGCTTACCAGCCAGCTATAAGGTTGTGTGGTCTGTTTAGGCTGCCTGCTGGTAGTGCATATGTAGATATGCACTTGGCAGCTTAAAATGGGTCTTAGTGGGCCCTTCAATCTGCACTGGAATGGCAGACAGGCATCACTGTTCCCAATTTACTGATGGGAAAATAGATTCAGTAAGGAGTATGTACCTCACAACAGGTAGAATTACTTGGAATTCCTTAGACCCTGCCACACCATAATATTTAATAAAAATTAGGGTCTTTTACGCCTTGAAGATCTTTATCAGCCTTAGGTCTAGATTTAGATGACTCCTACTCACTATACCTTTCTTCTGATGCTTGTAAATTTCCAGCTGCCGCTGCTGCTGCAACCTCAGAGTATTAATAATGGCCACCGTGAGTCTGAGGGCCTCTTTTGGATAACCATGAGAACGCAGGGCATCAACCCGAGCACAAGCTGTAGGCACATGCTCTACCAGATAAGAAGAAAATAACATGGTGGAGTTAAAATTTCAAACAAGGAAAGTTCATGCTTGAAAAAAGAAGTCTGGGGGTGGAGTGTAGCTCAGTGGTGCAGTGCCTGCCTAGCAAGTGAGAGGCCTTGAGTTCGATTCCCATAACAAAAACAGAAAAGAAAAGAATAAAGTTTGAAGTTTGTGTTTAATCCAGTTCCCCAAATTCAATCTGATATCTACTTTATATCAAGGGCTGTATTTTTATCCTAAGGGTATAAAAAGTTGAATAAGTCACAGGTGCTACCTTGAAAGAACCAAGCTGCAGCCTCAGTGGAGGTAATACAGTGTAGAAAGGGACATATAACTAGGATAACAAGATGTAGTACCTTCTTGTGAACATGTATGTATTATGGGAACCCAGTGGAGGTAACAACTAACTGCCCAAAGGGAAAAAGTCATTCTTTTAGTAACCTTGTATTTCCTAAAGGCCCGTTATATGCCAGGCAAAGAAAGAAGAAAAATAAATAAGAAATAGCCACCTCCCTCAAAGAGCTCACAAATGATACATAAACAGATAATTACAAAACAGCTAACAAATAATATGAGAGAATTATATATATAGCAAAAAATAATATTAGAGCTGTTCTTTAAAGGACAAGCACAATTATGAGTATGTAAATAAACAGGAAAAGCATTCCTGGCAGAGGGAACATGTAATTAAAGGCATATAAAGCAAAGCATAAAAACCATTCTACACAATATCTACAGAGTACGGCAGATAGTTTTGGGTACCCAGAATTAGGTTATGTGGCTGGAAAGGTAGAGCCTAGAATGTAAAAAGGTTTGAACACCATTCTAAGGAATTTGTATTTACCTTAGGGATAACAGAAGACTGCTAAAGGCTTATAAATAGGTGAATGATTGTAACAGGCTTTATGGTTTATTTCTTCTAAATATAACATTAAAATTATAGACAATTAAATTATTGCAGAAGATTTGAAAACACAAAAATATACCAATTTCTTACAATGAATATAGTATGTATCACAAGCATATACTAGTGAAAAGGTCTGAAAACATAAATGAGTATAAAATAAAAACCAGAGATAACTTTTTCTAGTTTCATATATATTTATCTAGACTTATTTTTACTAAAAATACATTATAATTATTGTTTTATAAACTTTTTTCAAGTAATATTTTTCTATGGTATTAAATACATTTCTATAACATTAAAGTGATTACATATCATTCCTCTGAGTATGTGGCCATCCACTGAGTTAATCAAGTCTATATTGTTGAGCATTCGGATGGTTTCCAATTTTCCCATCTGTAAATTATTTATATCCATGCTCTAATGAACCCTTTAGCTTTACACACATTCTTGGTTAACTATAGCTCAGGATAAATTCTAAGATACAGAATTCCTTGATCAAGTGATATGAATGTACTTTAAAGGCTTTTCATAGGTGTTGCTGAAATATCTTTCAGAAAGGTATTTATATTCCATCATTTATATATGAGTATGCATCTTTATGAAACAAATTATCTTTATTTGTAAAATTCCTGACCATTTGACAATAAAAAATGGCAAACCAGTATTACTTTATGTTTATGAGGCATATGTACATTTTTTCACATGCTTGTTAATATTTTAGATGTACTGGATCAGAGAAGAGGAAAGATAATCAGAGGTAACTTCAAGTGGTGACCCACAGTAAGTTTGGCCAAAATTTTTAGAGCTCTCTCTCTCTCTTTTTTTTTTTTTGGTACCAGGGATCAAATTCAGGACCTTATGCTTGTTAAGACAGGTGTGGCCCAGTCCTAGCTAAGATTTTTAAAGGAGACCCAGGGACATATGCAGATATAGAAAGAGTGTGAGAAAGATACAAATATGAGGTAATGAATGTAGGGAATTGAGATAGAGAAAAAAAATCTATGTGACTGTTGTAAGACTTAGATTAGAAAATAAGTAGTTCTAAAAGACTATTTTTAGATAGACACAGTGGTTCATGCCTGTAATCCCAACACTCTGGGAGGCTGGGGCTGGTGATATAGCATACTGGTTCAATGCAGATAGTCCCAGTATCATATAATAAATTAAATAAGTAAGCAAGTCTATTTTGGAATGGGTCAAGCACAGATTGACTGATAATAAGCCAGAAAATTATTTCAGAGAAAGGTTTTAACTCAGGATGGAACTGCTCTATTCTTTTATGTAGGAAGATAGGAAGACAGGAAAGAAATATGGAAGGCAGCTTGGTGACAAGTGCAGACTGTGTCCTAGTTACCAGCACAGGGTAATTTCAGTTTCAAACTTAGTGCTTTTTAAGCAAAATCAGTAACTGCCAACTGAGAGAACCTGTGAACTAATGTTTAATGGCTTGTCATATTCTCTGAGATGTATTAACTCTTTTATTTTCCCAAAGATTAGGGGATAGGATACAAATTCCTATTTAAGGTTACTATACCTCAAGCAAGTACATATGCCAACAGCCCAGGCTTCCAATAAATATCCTCATTCTCCAGTAAAGGCCTCAAAAGAACTATCTGAAGACTGTCCAGATTGTAGTTGGTACTGCTGGTGCCTACGCAGACGGCTCATTTGGGCCTAAATGAAGTGAGACTGGGTTCTAAAATTCTTACAATAAAGAAAGGCTATACTTACCAAGCCACAGTGGCTGGCCGTGGGAATTAAAGAGTAGTCGCTCACTTTCTCGCTGGCAGGCAGGAGCTGTATATATGTCACTGCTGATTATTCGTTGTAGGTGGCTATCCTGCCAATGTAATTCACGACCCTCTATGGCTCTAGTGAACACTGTTCTTCTTGGTCTGGATAAGGAGTCTGGAGAAGGAAAAAAATGCAGCAGCACAATGTTGGGCAATATGGGTCTTCAGTGTGGAAGAGAATAGTATGAGGGCAACAAAAACAAACACTCTGCTATCTAAGTATTGTGTTGCCTTCTTCTTGGGTAAGTTTTTAGTATATCTGTGCCCTGTATCAGAAAAAATTTTTATCAGAGATCTATGGATCCCTTGAAGACCAATTTCTACTGGGAATCAAAGCCATATGAAGATAGGCAGTCATGCTCAGCTGATATATCACGAGGACAGAAAATGTTTCTACAGAGACAAGAAATAATCGTGTAGGTAATTTCCCTGACTAATCCATAACTTCTTTCATTTGCAGCATGACCCTTACCAGTCTAAGAGCTTCCATGAAATTCATATTAAAAACTGAAAAGGAGCTGAAGCCCTGTATGTGCTGGTACCTTTATCACACTGATATCTGCAGATTTATTGTCTTGTTTCCAATAAGAAAAGCTGATGCTGGTAAAAGACTAACTTGTTTTCTCATTGGAATCTTACCATGCCATCTCTTTTCAGGAAAAGGGTCACAGGGAAACCAACACTGAGACAAAGTATGTTCAATTCTTAAGGGTGACATGTAGGTGAAACAAATGGAAGGTATATTGTTATAAACTATGTTGTTAGGAGGACTCATGTAAATGACATTTAATAACATTAAAGCCTAAAGGGGATCATTAAAGCAACACATTTCCATATTAAGGGTTGTTGAAACTATTTTGGGATCAAGAACTAAACTACACAGAGAGGTCCAAAGAAGATGTGCATCTACTGATTCTATGCAAAAATATTGTGAGGGGAAAGCCACAGAATTCAGACTACATATGAAAAAACCTAATATATTTATTCACTTAGGAAAAGTCTTTGAAATTTGCTCATGTCTTTATAAGATGGATAGGATTCAAATGATTAAAGGATATTATTATTAGAGTAGCACCAATGGTACTTACGGCTTCTTGTTCACATTGTCCTTCAGTGAAAGCACATTGACTCTTCTACTGGCTGCAGTTTAAGCCCCTGTTACACTGAACTGAGACTGTGTCATTGGTGTGCACAATCTACAGTAGAGACTGGCCTCTCAGTATGTTTTGCAATTAATTAAAATAATACATGCCTTATATGTAGCATGTACTATTCAAGGAGCCCAGAATGTATAAAGTTCTTGTCATTATGGACCTTTACTTCAAATGGGAAGAGATAGTTAAATGTATAGTATATCAGATATATCATACAGTTCTAAGTGCTATAAAACAGAATAAACTTAGGAAGAAAGATAAGCTAATGTTAGGTGGGGACTATTGTTTTACATACAGAATTGTCTCTAATAAAATAACATTTGAACAGCTACATGTGATGTGTCCTTGTAGTTTCTTTTCTTTTTTTTTAAGACAGAGGCTCGTGATGCAGTTCAGCCTGGCCTTGAATTCACTATGTAGCCCAGGTTGGCTTTGAACTCCCAACAATCCTGCTGCCTCAGCCTCCTGGGTGCTGGGATTACAGGCGTGCACCGCCACACCTGGCTGTCCTTGTAGTTTCAACTTCTCAGGAGGCTGAGGATCACCTGAATCAAGGAATATGAGACTACATCTCAAAAAAAAAAAAAAAAAAAAAAAAGACAGCATTTGAGTAAAGATCTGTAAGAATGGAGGGGCAAGCCTTAGAGACATCCAGGTGGAAGGAGTAGTAAATACTAAGTCCTTTTGTGGGAATATGTTTGAGAACAGCAAGAAGGCCAAAGTAGTCATATTGAGATGAACAAGTTGTTAAGACAGCTACTGCAATAATTTATGAGATGATGGTAGCAGGACAGAATAATTAGTAGAAGAGATGATAGGTAAGTGGATAGTGGCAGTTAGGGTAGACTGTCAACTTGACTGGCTTTGAGATCCTCACATTGATAGTGAACCATGGCACATGTGCTACATTGGGCTGTTTGTATTAATGAAAGCTCTAAAGGTTCACCATCACTGTACAGGACTGGTGGAGTAAACTTTTGGGTGTACCTGGGTGGATCATGGAGGCATGGCCTTGAGGTCTATATTCGGCCCCTCACCTATTTCGCTCTGGTACTGTTCCTTTGCAGTGGTCACCATGAAATAAGCAGCTTTGTTATGCCATACTCTTCTGCCATACTGTTCCTGTCTTAGAGTTGGCTGACCACAGACTGAATCCCTCTGAACCATGAGCCAAATTAAACTTCTCCTTCATTTGTATCAGGTATTGTAGTCAGTAACAGAAAAGCTGACTAATATACGTAGGTTCTGGCTATACTCTGAAGGTAAATACTGTAATACTTGCTCAAAGATTAGATCTAGGGTGAAAGAGAAAAATCAAGAAATGACACCAAGGTTTTTCAGATAAAGATACCATACAGAAATGAAGAGTTCAGAAAGAGCAAGTTTGGATGGGGTAGAGGATAAGAAATCTTAAGATGCCTATTACTATACTGTGTAACAGTGAGGGTGAACCTTTTAGAGCCTCAATGATACAAATGGCCTGCTGTGGCACATGTGCATAGGTTCACTACCACTGCCATATATGCAGAGATATAAAAAAGCAGTTGAATATACAAGACTGGAGTTGAGAGAAAAAGTCTAGGCAGGGAGTTGTTAGCATATAGATGATTATTAAAACAATGCAATCACCAAAGTAGTTGTGGTGGTTAAGCTTAATTTTATCAATTTGATTAGTCTGGGAGCTGTAAAACAAAAATCTTCAAGGACCAAGAGAGATAAATTTAGTAGAAGTCTAAAGATGAACAATTCTAAGAGGGTAGCAGACAGTATAGTTTTATGGCATAAACTTTATAGCTGAGATGTAATTTAGGAAGGTGGGATGGATAACGATGTAGAAAGGGCAATGAAGAATAGCAGGATGATTTGTTTGTACAGATCCAGTGGTAATGGGATGTATGACAGAGATCTCAATCACAACTTAAGGAGAATGAAGAGGAAATCCTCAAAGAAGAACCAGTAACAATGAAGAACCAATACATTCTAACAAGGAAGAAAAAGCCAGACTAGAGGTGTGAGTTTATATGAATTTTATCCTCTCTCTGCCAACCTAATTCAAAATTAAAATGGTGACTTTCTGTGTTGCACAAGACAGATGAGTGGCAGAAATAGGTAGCTTAACAAAGTGACAAAGTTGTAGCATCTTCATTGTTCATACCTTAAACAGATTAACAGCTAATTGTGCTACAACAAAAGAAGACTAAGAAAAACAAAAATTAAAGTGATTTCTTCCTTGAGATTAAAAATAACAAAATTATTATACTACTTAAAAGGGGCCTAGGATAAAATTAGTATTTGATAAAATCTGCCAATAAAGACATTCAATAAGCTAAAGAACAATCAATGGTCAACATCAAATAGCTCGTGTTAGCTGAAATAATACTGATGTGGATACTGATGCTAAGTGATATCTGTAGGACAGAAGTCTCAAGAGACACAGGATGTAGTATACTGTACTAGATTTGTTTCAGAATGGGGCAGGAGTCCTGGCAATAACTTGGGAGGATGATCCTATCCAAATATTTGCTATGTAAAAATTTGAGGGAAACAGAAAAAGAAACAAAATAAGACAGACTATGGTTATGACTTTTTGATTTTTCAATGCTAGGGATCAAATCCAAGGCCTTCTAAGTGCTAGGCAAGTGTTCTGCTGCTAAACCACATTGCCAGGCCCTGGATACTTTTTAAAACTGTTTTGTTTTTGTAGGCTTTTGCATCTAAAATCAACCTAAACTGAGGTCAAAGAGCCTGAAGGATAGAAAAGACTCATTCAGAAGTCTTTAAGACTTTCTGCTGAACACTAAATGGTCACTCTAGATACGGAAAAGGACCACATCCCCAGTGTCAAAGACAAAAGTTTGCCTTTAAAATTTAGCATTTAAGATAAATAAACAGGGCTGAGGATTTAGCTCAGTAGTTCTGCCACCTGCCTTGCAAGTGCAAGGTCCTGAGTTTGATCCCTGGTACCAAAATAAATAAATAAAGAAATAAAATTTAGCATTTTAAAATGCATAAAAATCCAACCTTTTTTTTTACTTAGGATGGCTATTCTGACAGCCAAAAGGCTTCCCACAGTTGTTCAAGGGCTCTACCCTCTTGCCTTTTGAAGTTGTAGGCACAAAGAGCCTAAAAAGGATACTTGGCTTACCTGCACTGTGACTGACATTCTGAGGAAGTGTATTGGTGATGTTGGGCAGCTCATGTCCATAATTTCCATCTTCCAGGGGACAGACATCCAGGTCACTCCACTTCTGCAGTTGCTGCAGCCAACAAGACTTTTCCTCCAGTTTGCAGTGTGGATTTAAAATTATACACACCCACAAAGCTCCTAGAAAACAAAGTAATCCACATTTTAAAAATATCTCTAATTTATTGTATTTTGTAAGTCTTAATGTTTCAGTTTTATTTTGAGGTGGTAAAGTTTTTAATACAGCATCAGTGGTGATGTAGCTCAATGGTACCGTGCATATGTAGCATACGTAAGCCCTGGGTTCCATCCCAGCACCTAAACAAACAAAGAACAAAGCATCAGCTTTTCTCAATATAAAAAAAATTGCTGAGATTTTCAGAAGTGGCCTACTTGTCCATTCCAAAGATTCCTTACAGCAGATTGACTATTACAATATCTGGAAGACAGATTTAGGTTGGGAATGCTGAGCTCAAATCTGCGGTCTAATAAATATTTACTGAGAGCTTTCTATTCACCCAAGTCCACTCCTGGTGAATAAGATACTCTTTCTACTCTTGAGGAGTTGTCTTGTGGGGGAGATAGATAAAGTCATTTGAAAAAAATATGTTAAATAAAAATTATATTCAGAGTATAACAGCAGCACAGAGGAAAGGCATTTAGTACAAGGATAGGACTGGAAGGAAGGTACTCAAAAAAGTTTCATGTTTTGGTTAGGTGGACTTCCTGACCTTCAAATCCTTTAATTGTGAAACCAAGAACATAAAAATACCTACTTTGTAGGGACAGGCTGGGAATCAAAAGGGATAACATTACTAAAGGTTCTAGCATATTACTGAGTACAGAGCAGAATCATAGCATTTCCTTTTTACAAGGAAAATAATTTATTTGGGGCTTGGATTTTGAAACTGCTAATCAACTTGATTCCTTAAAACTACCATTTTTTCTTCAATTTTTGTTATGATAGCCAAGTAACATTCCATATAACCAATGGGCACTTCTTTGACACATTATCCCTTTCAAGAAAATTGGCTTCTTTTCAGAGTTGGCCAATGACTGTGCCAGATAAATTTTCAACCCAAATTGGCAACAAGAATGGATGTGTGCTTCTTAATTTAAATCTTTGGGATGGAGCTGCCTCGACAGATGGAAGTTCATTCAGATACTATTACAAAGCCTCAGAGTCAAAGAGGAATACTTTAAAAGGCCGCATTAGCCTTATTTTCAGATAGCAACTAAAGATGAAAGTTTCCCTTTTTTAATTTTTATTTTTTTGTTTTTTTGATGCAGGGTCTCACTATGTAGTTCAGTATGACCTGGAACTCATGATGTAGCCCAGGCTGGTCTCGAACTCACAGCAATCCTCCTGCCTCAGCCTCCCGAGTGCTGGGATTACAGGTGTGTGCCACCACACCTGGCGAAAGTTCCCTTCTATTGGCTCAACTCCACTAAAAAAAAACCCCAAAAAACAAAAACATGAAATATAAACCATAATATGTAATAATGACAATAATTGTTCTTTAGGGGATTAAAGTACTAGTGATATTTATTTACAGTTTAAGAAGTCTTTTCACCTACAGTGAAGAAAAAAAATTTTATATTTAATCTTCACATATGAAGAAAGAGGATAGAAGAGCTATTAGAAAGACTTTTGTATCTATGGAATGGCAAAATCACTAGGATAACAGAAACAGAAAACAACCTGGGTAAGTTGAGACAGATTTAAGAGATAAAAAGACAGGGTGCTAATGCAGTACTCACATGGAAGTTTCAATTTCTTAGTCATTCTGATATTAAGAAGAGGATCCCAGGGCTGGGGATTTAGCTCAGTGGGTCTGGTGCCTGCCTCACAAGCACAAGGGCCCGAGTTTGATCCCCAGTACCAAAAAAAGAAAAAGAAAAGAAGAGGATCCCTAGAAAGTGAGTATAAGTACTTTCACCTATAAATTAAAAATAAATTTTGTCTAATTAGATCCTCACGAATTTGTTTCAAAAAACACTTAGAAACTGTCACATCTCTAAGACTGAGCAAATCTTGCAGTAGCCTATAGAATTCACAGGAATGTGTTATCAATATCTAAAAGCATGTTTTCCTGCAATTTAAAAAAAACAAACAAAAAAACAACTACTGTTTGGGTGTGGTGGCACATACCTATAGTCCCAGCATTCTGGGAGGCTGAGGCAGAAGGACTGCTAGTAGAGCCCAGCCTAGGCTATTTAGTGACTTACTGAGACTGTCTCAAAATTAAAAAATGAAAAAAAAGGTTGGGGATATAGTTCATTATGAAGGCCCTCGGTTCAATTCCTAGTACTGAAAAAAAAAGTATAAAAACTCTAAGCAAGGCAGCTATTATGGAGGCTTAAAATTTACATAATTATTATGTATTACATATATGAAATAATAGCTATCATTTATTTCTCTTTAGTAGTTAGGCATTATAATAAGTATTTTATATACATTATATCTCATAAAATCTTCCAACTCTGAGGATCAACAAGTTTTGGTTTGGCTATAGAAGGTAGAAAATGGGAACCAAGGATAAATTTTCTTTGTGAGCAACTGAATACATCTTGGTACTTTGTATTGAAATGGAGACAGCAAAAAGAATATCAAGTTTTGGCAGGAAAATTAAGAATTCTGTGATGGTCAATTAAGTTTCAGATTCTTCTTAGAAGTGAAAGGCAGCTGGACACAGCCTGAAGCTCAGGGGAAAAGTCTGAGCTGGAGAAATAAATTTGTTTTCACTTTTGTTTATTTGTGGTGCTGGGGACCACAAATGCGTGAACCCAAGGCCTTGTGAATTCTAGGCAAGTGTTCTACCTTTGAGCTACACCTCCAACTTTCATCTGGCTGGTATTTAAAATCACAGGAGTGAACACAATTAATTAGGCAGGGAATATGGACAGGGAAGTGGATGCTGTGGGGTACTCAGTCTTTAGAAGGGTTAAAGAAGCCTTCAAAGGGTAGCCTGCAAAGAAGACTGAGAAAAAGTCAGGAATATAGGAGAGAAACCAAGAGGGTATACAGCTATGGAAACCAACAGAAGAGTAAGTTTCAAGAAGAGCATGGTCAATTTTATTGAAAACTGCTAAGAGGTCAAGCAAAATGAGAACTGAGAAGTGACCACTGTATCTATCAATATGGATGTCACTGCTGATTTTCACAGGAGCTACTTCAGTAGAGCAGAAGCAGTTAGGAATGAAAACCCATCTGGAATGTGGGCAAGGGAGAATGGTGGTGAGAAAATGGAGACAGTGATAGCAGAGAACTGGCTTTTAATGTGTGTGTGTGTGTGTGTGTGTCTGTGTGTGTGTGTGGTAATGGATACTAAAGCTAGGCCTGTGCAAATCCTGGGCAAGTAGTCCACCACTGACCTACAGCTCCAGCCCTTTTTATTTTTTATTTTGAGCCAAGTCTTATTAGGTGGCCCAGCCTAGCCTTGAATTTATGATCCTCTTGCATCAGCCTCCTGAGTAGCTGGGATTACAGGTATGTGCCACCATGTCCAGTTGCAGATAACATTTTCAAAAAGTGATGCTTTGAAAGGAAGAGGAGAAATGAGGTAATAGTAAGAGGGACCTAGATGGAACATTAATGGAATGAACGCTTTCTTACATTTGGAGTTGAAGATATTAGAACATATTTGTATGCTGATGGGAAGGAGCTAGTAGAGAGAGAAAAATAAATGATGCCAAAGAAAGGAGAAAATGGCAGGAGCAAGAGTCTCAAGAAATGGAGATAGGACAGAACCCAAAATATGTAAGTGAAGACTGGCCTTTCATGAGTTGAGACACTTTATGAGTTCTAATAAAAGAGAAGGCAAAGCATATGGGTACAGACATGGATCGGTAAACAGATTTGTGTGGTGGGGGGGATGAGGAAGTACTTCCATTTTCTCTAGCTCAGGAACTAAAAGCAGTGAGCCTATCCGCTCCCCACCCACTTTTCCTGGTCCTAGGAATTGAACCAGGGCCTTCATACTGAGTGACATTCCCTAGCTCTTTTTTAATTTCAAGGGTTTCACTAAACTGCCTAGACTGGTCTCAAACTTGAGATTCTCCTGCCTCAGCATACCAGAGTGCTAGGATTACAGGTATATGCCACCAAACCTGGCTTTATATCTTTTTCCTACATTTGTAGTTCCTGCAACCCTTACCTAGACTCTATCCAGGTGAAAAGGCCTCACAGCCAATTTCTTAGATATGAAAATATCAGAAATGAGATATTTTCATAATGAACCCAAGTACACATTAAGATCTTTAAAAGTACTGGGAGCCAGTTTTGCCTACTTCCTCTCACCTACCTTAGTCCAAAGACCAAATCCAAGTCCAAATCACAATCTGATGATCTGTACAGAAATTGCTTTAAGACATTCAAGCCTCAAATGAAACTGACTTTTTGAAAAAGGCTAATTTCAAATTTTTAAGGAATATGCACTTAAGGAAAGACTGGGTAGCTTGCCTTCTCTCTCTCTCTCTCTTTTTTTTTTTGACGTAACAAGAGGGAATCAAGAGAGATGTTTGTTACAGAGGGACATTTGACTTAAGAGTCAGATACATAGGGTTTCAGAGTCACCACTTACTAGTATGTGAGCCTGAAGAAAATATTTAACTTAACTTTTCTGAGTTCAGTTTTTCTCATCTAAAAATATGGAGATGCTAATGTCTTACCCTGGAAGGGAATCTGTCTACAATCCAGTCTAAGGAAAGTTTAGAAGTACTTTCCAAGAGCTTTAAAGATGTTAAGTAAGCCTTTAACCCTGGCTAAAACTGGGTGACTAATAGCTACAAATTAATACTGTCTTATACTTCAGACAGTGTGACTGTGTCAAAGCAAAGAAAGTATCTATGATTCCTTCTTTAAATTTGTATCCACAAGTAACTAGATCCATCTCTGTTTTTTGCCAATAAATACACAAATATCTCACAGGGTTATTATTAGAATTAAAAGAGATAAGATTGTGAGTACAATCTGTAACACAGATTCCCACATAACATTTAATAGCGTATCTAGATTTTTTTTTTTTTTTTTTTTTGGTACTGGGGATTTAACCTGGGCCTTTACATTGAGCTACACCCCAAGGCTTTTGTAAAAAAAAATTGTTTTTGCTGGGTGTTATGGCATATGCTGTAATCCTAGC